GCGGGGGGGGGGGGGGGCGGGCCGGGAGGGTGCCCCCACCTTGGGCAAATGGAAATTGGGAAAATGGGGCTTCCCCTGACATCTCCCCACGCTTGCTCCCCACTTCCTCCAGAGTGAAGCATGGTACCAGAGGCACCCATTCTCCACCCCAGGGGGGAAAAACCCGAATCCATCAGCTCCACTCTGGCCAAATTGGGAGATTTGGCCAGTTCCTGGCAGGGTGCAAGCAGCCACGGCGGCTGCGGTCGCGCTGCACACCTGCCACAGCGTGCCGCGGGGTTTTGCACGGGGAAGCCAAGGCAGCGGGCGTCGTTCTGCCCACCCTTCCCAAAACAGAGACGCGCTTGCTCAGACACTCAGCTGTTGCTGCGCGCGTGCCACTGCTTTGTGGGAATCATAGAATGGTTTGGGTTGGAAGGGACCTCTAAAGGTCGTCTAGTCCAACCCCCCTGCCGTGGGCAGGGACAGCTTCAACTAGGTCAGGTTGCTCAGAGCCCCGTCCAACCTGACCTGGAATGTTTCCAGGGATGGGGCATCCACCACCTCTCTGGGCAACCTGGGCCAGTGTCTCACCACCCTCAGCGTAAAACATTTCTTCCTTATATCTAGTCTAAATCTACTCTCTTTTAGTTTACCACATAATAAACCACATGAACAAACCACATGAACTGGAAAAACACTCAAAATGGTACTGAAGCATGGGACAGAGATGTCACGCAGATGGGCTCGCAGGAAGAAAGTGGGAGCGAGAGAAATCGGCTGTGGTTCCTCTTGCTGGGATGCAGAGGGGACACAGGGCCAGGTTTGCACAAACAGGCGCTGATTTATTCAACTGGAGAACTGTGATTGCAACACCAGAAACTTATCAAACCCTCAGCCCAAAATACATCCCCAAAGGCCGCATGGAGCACAAAGCAAACCTGGAAATACTGTACTAAGAGAGAAGCTGAGCTTTTTAGATCTCTGCCTCTCTCAGTGGCCCACAGCAAGCATATTTTGTAATCTCTTTCCTGTAAAGGAAGGCAAAGACCTTGTGCAGCAAACTGGGTCACTGCTGGGAGCAGCTGGGAGCAGCCCAGCAGTGCTCCCTTTGCCTGATCCCAAAAATCAGCCTGGAAACTGGGGCTGGCAAATGCAATTGGGGCAGAATTGGGCCAGGGGCTGGCAGGCAGCGAGGAAGCAGCGATGGTGCAGGGTTTCAGAGGCAGCAGCAGCCAGGTGCCGTGCTCACCATGCGGGACGTCGGTCCATCCCCCGTGCCTGAGGTTTTTGTTCCTCTCGGCAAAAAGGAGGCAACGGGGGTAAAACCATCCGGTGGTGCCCAGCAGCACACACCGCAACAAAAGATCTTGTTCATTTGAAAAAAGCAACCCCAACAACACTGAAATAGTCCTGCCGATTCCACCACCAGTTGTTAGCCCAGTCATCATCTTCACAGCTTCTTTTGCCAATAATGACTTTGCTTTTCTGCCAGCGCCGGTGTGCATGTTATTTAGGTCAGTGAGGGGGGCTGTAGCAGCTTCTCCCCCCCGCCTCACATCTCAGCTGCCCGGTTTCTTCATCCAGATGCCCGGCAGCCGCACCAGCAGGGACACGAGGTGCTATTGGCCACCTGGGGCTTTTTCCGGACAGCCATCAGAGATTGCTGGCAGCGTGGCTCGGAGGGGACACGGGCTCCTTCCAGCCACACTTGATTCCCATCATCAAACTTGGTCACTTCTGCACAAAAGGCCACATGGTTCTTGGATCGATACCGTTTATACCATGCTCGTTCGGGGTACTAGCTCACAAAATTAAACAGCATTGAGCATAAAGCCAAGAGGCACCACCAGGCAATGACAAACAACCCTTTCCTGTGCAAAATCCCGTCCCAGGGTGGATTCATCTTCTTGGAAGCGTCAGCTCCAAGTGAGAAGCCCGTCCATGCAGGAGGCAGTGCCCAGCAAGTGGCATCAATGAAGGACTTCACATCAGCTGGCAGTGTGGTACCCACCAAGCCGATTGCCAAAGACACTGCCCTTGCTCAGCCTCTGCGGGGCTTGCTCCCACTGGAGGCATCACGGCCTCAGGCACCCCGAGAGCCTCCCGTCTGCAAACCCCCCTAATTCAGGGTGTGCACATGGCTGTTGCCTTTACAGCTCAGGAAAGCACCCCGAGACCCTTAAGGTGGGAAGTTCATAAGCTCCCTGCGTACAAAACCACCGGCACACGCCTGCCCCAAGATGGGGAGTTTGTCAGGGTGTGCAAAAGGGAGCACAGGAGGGCTCGGAGGCAGCGCCAGCAGCTAATTGTAGAGCTGATGCAGGGAAAGGTATCAACAACGTGATAAGGCAGGAGAGAGCGACACTGACTGTAAGTCTGGAGGACAGTTAAGGTTGTCACGTCCCATGCCACACAGATAACAGTCATAAACTGCTGGGGTAGCACAGGCAGTGCAGATAGTTCAGAAGTTCAGGAATTATTTTCACAGATAAGAGCCTCGGTGATGGCAGTTCCCTGTTTCTTGCAGAAAGAACACAGCTGTAATGAAAATAGTCATTGCCCCAAAGCAATTAAGGATGCTTGTCTTGTGCAGTTGACTAAGCAGGTCCCCCCCACCGGTCACAGGTCATTCTGGATTGCTTCTCAGAAGCAAACCAAGGCTGATAATGAAGCTCAGAGCTGGGAAGCACCTAATTGCTTAACTGAGCACAAGACATTCCTCTTCTTACACCCTTCAGAGCAAAGCTTGAATGAGAGCATCACGGCGCCGAACCAGGGACAGGACCACGGCAGAGACCCACGTGTGGGGTAGGAGGCAAAGCAGCTGCACAGCCCAGCTCCCGGGTACTTTCAGCCACGATGCCAACCTGCTCGCAAAGTTTCTGTCTGCTCTGTCCTCCCCTCCTCCACCCCCAGCTTGGAGCCTTTCAAAAAATTCAGTTGCACGAAGGAAGCAGGTTTTTAAAAACAAGAGAGAACCCGTGGGCTCCTCAATCGCTCCCTGGCAGCCCCCACCCACATAAAAAGTCCCCAAAGCACACAGAGAGGAGTTTTAAAGGCTGGATTACAGCACTGGGGGCGGAGGGACCCCCCAAGGCTGCCTTTTTGCTCGCTATCAGCAGCCAACACGCTGTGCACAAGCAACCCCGACCACTGCGCGCAGCCGAAGTGCGAGGCACAGTTTGCGCCTTGCCGGCTGGACTGCCTCCGCAGGGCTGAGGAGCAGAAAACCTGCTTTCATCAGTGCGCTCGAGCACAAGTGACTCAGAAAATAAAGGGAAAAGCGAAATAGCAAGAGCGGGTAAGACTCGTTCCCTCCCGGCATCACCGGCCGCTGAGATGACAGTGCCTGTGTCATGCAACCCGTGAGCCCCGCTCTGGCCAGCTGAACCCTGGGTTTGGAGCTGGCTGATACCTTCGTGCAAGGGCAATGGACAGGATGAATCCTTCCCAAACAGCACAAGCTCTCCAGGCTTGAGCAATAAGCCCCAGGTAGCCCTGGAGAGCTCGCTGAGCTGGGAATGGAGGCAGCAAGTCTCCCAGGTGCGTTTCAGGGCACCTCCAGCAGTTGCTGCTCTGATGACCACCCTGAAACCATCCCATCACGCCCACAATTAAGGGCTTGCCTTGCTTCAACAGCCTCCAAAGCCTGCTAACTGTCACTTGGGTGAACTTCAGTGCCAAGGAAAGGCAAGGGAATAACCCAATCATGTTGAAACACGTGGGTAAAATAAACTTCACATTGCAATCACCTGAAATGGCCTTGGCCCATCGGGTGGGCTGGCAAACGCAGTTGGCTGGTGTCTCATCTGTGTTCTGCTGAGTGTGAGCCGCCCCACCTTCTAGGAACCCTCCTCCAAAGCCAAGGTCCAAGTGGGGCTTTTCCAGCCCCCTGGGTTGACCTTGCTGTCTCCTTCAGGACCCAACTCATGGGCTGCGCAGGCAGAGCCATCCCCACAGCCACCCTCCACAGCACTCACAAACTCGTGACACAGAGCAGAGCCAGCACAGCCAGCAATGCTGGCCCTGGTAGGGCACTGAGAGGTCTGCAGGGGGAAAGCTGGGACAGATGAGGTCTCTTCGGCTCTCCCAGCAGTTCCCCATCAGTGCCTCGCTGTGACCCAGCAAGCCCAGCTGACCCAGCAGCACCACCGGGAACAGAGACTGTCCCTCCATCAGCTGTGTTTTTAATTAAAGGCAGGCACAAGGCTTTGCATTGCTTCCCAGACAACAAGTGACTATGTCATTTGTGCAAGAGACTGCTGAGACATTCCCCAGCAAAATCCAAGCCTGCTGTGTCACTAAGACATCAGCAGAACACACACATGCCCTCTGCATTGCCTGCATTCAATTACAGCCCCATTCATTGCAAGCTTTCTTACAGTTTCTGCAATAAGCAGTAGCTGGGACAAACGCAGAAGGGCAAGGGCAGGTCTTGGTGTCACTTCCAGGAAGCAAAGCTATTAAATACATGTGCAAATTCCAGCTTGAGATCTCTGCGCCTGGGAAATTACCCAAAGTACTAAACAACCCATTAGCTCTGACCCTGGCACAATTGAATCTGGGAATTTAGTAACAGAGTCTGTCTCTCTTAACAGCGTTGAAGATAAAGCCTACCAGATCGCAGATAAATTGCTGGCATTGAGGAAGTAAACCTCTCTGCTGCACTCAGAACGTCAAAGGACGTATTCCCATGGTGTATGGTGCATCAGTCATACAATACTATTAGCTAGCACAGGTGGTATTTAAAGAGATCACAGATAAGAGTTTGAAGAGACTGCTTGCTAAGTGCACAGATAATCCTGCTCTTCTACACAGGAAACTGCAGCTTCTTAAAATCAGGTTTAATTTTGTTTATGATTTTTATGAGAAAATTAAAAAATTCTGCTGTTAGATAGGATCCATCCTGTGCAGACAGCCCCCCGTCACCTGGGCTGCTCACAGGGCACCAGAAACCGCCCCCGGAGAGCGGAGCAAGGAAACCCGCGACACTCAAGGGCTGTTGACACCGATGGTTTTGGCCACGCCACCGCATCCCTCGTCTTTGTTACAAATCCTGGAATAAATCTGCTGCTGGCTGAAGGTATCCAACCATGTGAAAGCAATACGCCGGGGCTGGATCCAGCACTGCAGAGCTAATATCCCTCACCCCCCAACCCCGTAGGGGCATTTCTTTGCATCAACACGTAGCAGTATGGTTAGCTCCTTACCAATGGCTCCTCACACAGTTAAGCATCAGGATAACAGCGCCCAGGCAGTAGCAGGCAGCACGTGGAGAGCCGAAGACTCGGCTGAGCGCTCGCGTTTTGTGCTCCCATCTGGCTACCTGAAGAGACAACAGAAAACAAAGCGGGTAGTTGGGGGTGCCGGGGCGCGTGCTGCCCCAGGAGCGAGCCCCGCGGCCTCGGCCCCACACGGGGACGCACACCGCCTGCATGGCTTTGTGTGAGAAGCAAGCGGAGGCCACTGATGGGACGTGGCTTAAACCAAGCCTGGGGATGAAAGCTCTTTCTCCTACCTGTGCCAACCCCTGCTAGTGCTTGCGTTGCCCTGTTCACCAGGCCAGCCAGCAGCACTGAGGCGCTGGCTCATGGGAAAAAAACACCCTACACATCAGCTTTAGGGAATATGTGGCTCGGACAACATACGTCCAACAAGACTGAGAGCATTGCTAAGGCTGTCTCCAGACCACCAAAGCCAACAGGCCCCTGCCATGGAGCCTAGCATTGCTCTCCTAGAAGGAAAACAGATCTCTGAGTAGGGGATGGCATCTCGGGACACCCAGCTCTCATTTTCTGGGCTCTACTATCTCCTACATCCAGCTGTAGGGATCATACCTGGCAGGAACAACCCCTCCCTGCTCACTTCCAGAAAAGTTTGCAAGCATTCCCTCCCCACCAAACTCCCTCCCAGCTAAGACCTGCCAGCTTGGCCCAGAGAATTGCTTCCACTTGTACAGACTGAACCAGCTGCCCTTTGTTAGCACTCAGCAATTGTAGCCATTAAGGGCTCACCTGCACTCCTCACCCATCCCTGCGCGGCTGTCTCAACGCAATCCATACAGCACGTCAGTGACAGCCCAGGGCTCACACACATGCATGCACACACGCAGGCAGGCAGCATCTCTGGGGAGGCATTAGCATCCTTTACAGCACACTTTTCTTGGGCTGCAGTTTTAAGCTCCGTGTTCTGCAGAGCCCTGGAAGCTGACGGGCCCCTGCCCAAAATGCCTCGCGGCTGAGGAGGTGCCCCTCTCACCCTGGGAGGCTGCTGCATGCAGGTGGCTGGAGCTGCTCCCAAAATCTGCAGGGCTGGATCCACCCAAGTCACCAAATCCAGGACCCTCACTCCCAAGCTGATGAAAATCCTTACAGCCACCCTGTTTTCTACCTTTCCTGTATCCCTCAGAAAGCTGTCGCTATATTTATCGCCTCCTTTAGGCTCCATTTTCAGGCGCCAAGCCTGGGGTTTGGATCAGATCCTAAATTCAAGCCAAGCAGAGCCCACCTGGGCAATGAAGCAGGAGGTGGGAGTCAGCAGAACATCTCGGCACCAATTTGCTTCTCAGACACGGCTGGCACTTCATTAGCTTCAAATGCACTTCACTGCCTTGCATGGAGCCTGGGCAGCTTTTGGGAGGCACCTGCAACCCAGCTATTCATCTACTCTGAATGTATTTGGTCATTTGTTGGCTCTATTTGAGCAGAAAAAGGCAGCTTTGCAGGTCCCATTTTCTTCCCAGGCTGATGCAGAAGCACAAGGTGCTGCTGGTGGAGGGGGACTGCTGGCTTCAGCAGGGGAGAATGATGAAAACCTTCGATAAGCAGGGCACTGATTTCACATGCTGAGAGCTGATTCAATTAGTTATGCAATGATTGCTCTGAAATTACAAATCCACTCATGACAGAGAGAGCTGCTTCACTGCCTTTTTCTGGCTGGTATAAATAGTTTGTATTCTAAATTGAATTTAAAACACTGTGCGTCATGTTGCTGCTAAAATGGGAGCTGCTGTTTGAGTGCTGCGAGTGTGGAAAAAGAAATATAGGGTGAGTTACCACCTTTGGAAAGTAAAAAGAAGCGACCATACAGGTGATCAAGTCATAGATGGAAAAATGCAGCCATGTGCCAGTTATCTGTACCAACTTCCTAATTCCCTGGAAATTATTCTGGCGGCGTTTGCATGGATGGCAGCTCCTGGCTCGCCTTGAGAGCTTCGCAAAGCATCTCAGCCGGTGGCAGAGCTGAAGCTGAAAGAGAAGGCAGTGCTGCTGGGATCAGAGGGGAGAGCCCGTGCGGCGCCGGGAGCCGTCGAGGCGGCCTCGTAATTACCCTCGCCTTTAAAAAGGCACATCTGGGCAGCGACGGAGCGCGGTGGGGCGAGGGGACGCGTTTCCGAGCCCTTCGGGGCAGCAGCTGGCTCGGCTGCCTTGGGATCGCTCCCAGCACAGCCCAGCTCATGCTGCATCACGCTGCTGCTAACTCCCCGGCTGGGACCGAGACGCCAACTTTTATTTAGCTGTCACATCCTTCAGATGGGACCCCGGGCTCCTTTCCGAGCCCGCGTGGGAGTCATCCTGAGCAAAGCAGAGCGGGAGCCTGCGTGGGGCTGGAAGCGGCGGCGCCCGCCAGGCCCCGTGGTGATATTTCAGCAACAATTAATTTGTTCCGGTTCTGGTTCTATTCCTTGAACAGCTAATTAGTTCTGGCTCGGTTCTAATTTTCTAATTTTAGTCATTTCTAGCTAATATTAGCTCTCGTTCAACCCATGGCTACGCAGCTGGCTTAACGGTTTTATAAAATCATGAGCCGACGTGTTATTATTTACTGCATGACAGATGCAAAATGCTTTTGGCATCCTCTACGGCTGTGTGTGGGACGTGGCAGGGCTGAGACCGGCGGCCTGCCGGGGAGGGCTGTGGCTATTCCCGGTGTGCCGTTTGCTCTCTCAGCCGAGGGTGCCACCGTATGCCACCGTGCTGCCCACGGGTGAGCACAGCATCGGGGGGGGAAAAGCCCCACGCCATGGCTGTGCATCCCGGTGAGGGAGGGAAGGGAGCATTTTTATTTTTCTTCCAACCTCCGAGTCTGGAAACGGAGTTAATACAACATTTCCTGACTTACCCAAGGGTCAAAGCAATAGAAAAATTCAAGGCTCCTTTTCCAAAGCTCCCAGCCCTCTGCTTTCACTTTAGGATACTTGGTGAGGGCTGTAAGTAATTTTTTTAATGTTTCCCCCAATGCTCGTTATTGAAATAAATCAACGAGCGGATGTGGCTGCAAAGCCGGGGAGTGCTCTTGGGTCCCATGTTCTGCCTTTGGCAGGCCGTTTCGGCGCTCACCGGGGGCAGGCGCAGCCGGCTGTTATTCCCAGGGAATCGCTGTCTCCTCTACGTAAATTCGGGGCCGATTTCTACATAACCGAACCGAGCCATCTCCCCAACCGCTCGGGCAAGTGCGTAAACACAAATGAAAGCGCTGGCACGCTTCCCCAGTGGCTGTCCTGATGCAAAGCTCTGAGTTCTCTTTGCTTTTTTTGGGCAGGCAAACCTTCCCGAGCCACCTCGAGAAGGGCCACAAATATCTATTCGAAAAGCAATTTCATCTCAGCAACCTGCCTCCGCAGCTGATCAACGGGAAATGCTCTTTACAGCTCTGCGTGCGTGGCAGGCCATCGCCTCTCATTAATATTTAGTATTTGTTTCAAGGAAATTGATTATTTTTGTCTGCCATCCAGGGAAGCTGGCTTTTGAACATGCTACATTTTAATTTGCTCAAGCCCAGCTCTGAAATAGAGACTTTGTTCTGTTTCACATGACTCCATTTCTATATCTGGCTCGCCCCCGAGATGGGGAACGAAACCAGAAAGCCCAAAGGCCTTCTGGTCTAAGGGATCTTCTGCATCTCGATGCTAATCGGCCCGTCTATGTCCTCGCATCGCCCCATCGCCATAGTATCCGAAGAAGACCATGAGGGCGTTAGTGAATTTACCCTCGCAGCATGCCTGGGAGGCTGGGATGGATTAGCAGCTCCCTACAACCCAAGGGAAACTGAGGCACCGGCGGGTTGAGGTGAGCGGCTGCTTCCCAGCTCTCCGGGAAGCAGGGTGGCAGGGCTGTGCCCATGTCCCGGGAAATCCCAGACTCATCATCCACCTCGGGAGATGCTCTGCCCACTTCTGAGGATGCTCTTGCCCTGGCCAAACTGTTGGCATAAAAAAGTTCAGTGCCCAAGACTAGGCTGGAGAAAAGATGACAGTGAATAGGATACGCTGCCTTCGCTGTACCCGTCTCGCAGTATTTGCCAGCATGAAGGATTCTGCCCCATCACGTGGGCTCTAGGAAGCAACCCACCGAGAGACCTAAAACTCAGAAACTCCTTGAAAAGCCCAGAAGGTCAGCTCCTCGGGGCATGTCTGCACCCCGGTCCCAAGAGGATGCGCGTGCGTAGGGTGAGCCCTGCATGCACGGGCAATTCAGTCCCCCCCCCAAAAAAAACCTTAAGACAAAACCGACCTGAGCAAATTTTTAAACTTTCTCCTTCAGTCTGACCTCTCCTAGGCCAGCCGTGGGGGTGCATCCTCCCGCAGGTGCTGGGGCAGGAGGAACCCCGACTCTGGACTTAAACGGCTCCACGCGAGCGTCTCCCATCGCAGGAGACGTGCCCTGGCTAGCTCGTAACCTGATGAAAGGGCAGGAAACCTGATGTTATCCTTATTTCACCTACAGGGACCAGAGGCACCGATCTGTTCCCCTGTATGAAAAATCCATTTTTCCTTTCTGATTCCCTGGAATCCCTTGTTAAAGCCTAACGATATTCCCTGCTCTCTGTCACTGCTTGGATGCTGGAAAACAACCCTGCTTGCAGCTACCATGTTTATCTAAAAGACAGGGAGGCAAAAGATACACCTGGGCGCCCGAAGTCTGACTGCGGTGCTCCCAGGAGCGAGCAGGGAAGCAGAGCCAACGCAGAGCAGCAACAGCAGAGCAGGCTGCAATGTAAACGCACATCCACCGCCCGCCTGCGAGCGCCGGGGCTGGCTGACCTTTGCCGAATGCCAGAGGAGCCAGCCTTTCTGGCTGTCCCGAGCGACCGCGGAGGAAATGAGTGTGGCCTGACCTTATCTATCCTAACGAACTGCGCTCGAGCCCCCCTGCAGTCGGCAGTGCTTAGTGTGTGCTGGTACGGCAGTGCCGACGGTGCCGGTTGAATACCGCAGCCAGGCTGAAAGCTCCAGCCTGGGCTCCTGCGGCTGCTCAAGGCAAATGTCCGAGCGCTCGTGCTGCTTCTAGGTGAGAAAAACTCTGCTTTTCTAGGAGATTGCAAACC